CTGCGCCCTTTGAGTCCCCCCGAGAGCGAGAGAAGGCGAGCGAGCATCCCCGGGATGGCGGCGTGGTCGATGAGTGCCTTTTTCTTGTACCAAAGGTGTGTGGCCATTTCTTTGCTCCTCCGCTTTTTTTCCTTTTGCTTTTTTTCTTCTTCTTTTTTTTTTTGTTTTAACGTTTTGCTTTGTTTTGTCCCGAAGATTCACTGTTACCTCAGCTCTCCGAACGGATTCTGGCAACTCTTGTAGCCTTTGGGTGTTGGGGTGGAGGAAACAGAAAGCCAAACCTTTGTCCTGTTGGAAGAGAAAGCATCGCCCTTCCCTCTGGCTGTGGTTTCCCCTTCAGATGTCCCCGGTGTCCCCAGTGTCCCCATTTGTCCTGTGGGCAGCTCTGCTCTGAACCGTGCAGAACCCGACTGTAGAACGGCTTGGGTTGGTGCAGGCCTTGGAGACGTGGATTCCACCACAAATGGATTCCACCATGGATGTTTCGTTGCGGTTCAGCCCAGACTGGAGCTCCTGTTTCCCTTCTTGGTAGCACAGAGAGGATGCGCGTTGTTTCTCGTTGCTGGCTGTCTCCAAACCTTTCGGAGCTCAGCGCTCCAGCAGGGAAGGTTTCCAGGTTCCAGCAGAGGTGCTTTTCACTGTTGGGTGGGACAGGAGCGGCTCTGCTTTAGGAAGAGGCGGTGGGAGGACCCTCAGGAGAAGATGCTCTTCTGCAGAAATCTCCTCCAGCTTAGGGAAATCTGGGGTCCAATTGCAGCTGCTTGGCTCTTTGCGTTGGTTTCCCCTTCTTTCTTGGCTGAAGCCTTCCAGGCTGCACCACCCCAGCGGGCTCCATCTGAAATGGCTCCTTTAGGTTGGACCAAACTTGGCCAAAGTCTCAAACCCAACCGGGAGCTTCGCCGTGGGGACGCCGGGACCCCTCTGCAGCCCCACTGAGAGCAGCTCAGAGCACCCCACTGCTCGCCCCCCCCGTCCCCATCGCCTCCACACGATTGCCTTGGCCAGATCCTGCCCAAACCCCCCTCCTCCCCAACACCCACAATGGCTCGTGATACCAAAGACGTTCTCTATGCAGGAGAAAGCCTTCTTTTCCACCCAGCACAGACCTTACAAGCCTTTGACAATGTTCTCTGAAATACCTCAAAATATTTAATGTATAGTTTATGT